GGGCTCAGAAGCTCTCCTGTCCTTCAGACTTCTGAAGTATTAGGAACCAAAGGGGCCAGTGTTCAATAGGCCCGAAAGGCAGAGATCCTTGGTGGCAAATTCATTTCAGTCACAAAGAACAGGCCGGGCGCGGTGGCTCACGCCTGTAATCCTAGCACTCTGGGAGGCCGAGGTGGACAGATTGCTTGAGGTCAGGAGTTCGAAACCAGCCTGAGCAAGAGCGAGACCCTGTCTCTACTATAAATAGAAAGAAATTAATTGACCAACTAATATATATAGAAAAAAATTAGCCGGGCATGGTGGCACATGCCTGTAGTCCCAGCTACTTGGGAGGCTGAGGCAGCAGGATTGCTTGAGCCCAGGAGATGGAGGTTGCTGTGAGCTAGGCTGATGCCATGGCACTCACTCTAGCCTGGGCAACAAAGTGAGACTCTGTCTCAAAAAAAAAAGAAAACAAAGAACATGAGAGCAAGGGATCACATAGGTGCTGGGTTCCTTTTCATGCTTAAAAACCTTTCCTGTGGCTCCCCTTTGCCCTCAGGAAAAAGACCAAATCCCTTAATTGGCAAAGCTTTTGGACTTAGCCCATGTACCCAGCTTCATCTCTTACCATTCCCCTCCTTGAATCTTCTGTCCACTCAAACTAAACTACTTATGTTACTTGAAATAACCATGTGCTCTCTCTTAGCTATGGGCCTTTGTGCATACTGTTCTTTCTGTCTTGAATGCTGTTCCACAGCTTGTACCACAGACACCCCCTTCAGCTGTCAGTGGGTCCTTTAAGACTTAATTCAAGCATCACTTCCTCCAGGAAGCCTTCCTGAAGTCCTTGGCTGGGTTAGGGATTTTTTTTTTTGTTTGAGACAGAGTCTCACTTTGTTGCCCAGGCTAGAGTGAGTGCCATGGCATCAGCCTAGCTCACAACAACCTCAATCTCCTGGGCTCAAGCAATCCTCCTGCCTCAGCCTCCTGAGTAGCTGGGACTACAGGCATGCGCCACCATGCCCAGCTAATTTTTTGTATATATATTTTTAGTTGGTCAATTGATTTCTTTCTATTTTTAGTAGAGATGGGGTTTCACTCAGGCTGGTTTTGAACTCCTGACTTTGAGCAATCTGCCTGCCTCGGCCTCCCAGAGTGCTATGATTACAGGCGTGAGCCACTGCGCCTTGGGTTAGGGATCTTTAGCCCAGATGCTCACAGAAAGTCATTGCCAGTCAATGTTGAATGAACAAACAAATGCAAATGTCTGAGGAGAGAAAAATCGTGTGGCAGGAGAGCTATAAAGGGGAGTAGAATGTTCTCATATTTCCAAGTTCCAAGATTCAACATTCTTTAATTCTTGACTGAAGATTGATTCCGACTCAGGCTCCCCTCCATCTGGAGCCCAACTCGCCAGCCAGCCCCTCCGCCCTGTAACCTCTGAGTGTTTGTTCTCAGGCGGGCACACACACATGTTCTGAACATAACCGGGAAAGCAATTTACAAGAAATAATTGCCGGTCGATGTGTGCTGGGGAGCAGCGGTGAGCTCAGCCTATTTCTGTGTGTGCGTCAGCCCACCCAGCCTCCTCCCTCCTCTCCTGCCCTGGGGGAGGGGCTCCTGTCGCACAGGGTGGGCAGTTAGTTTTTAACGCAGGACTCAGACTAGCCAACCCCAGTGAGAGCCTGCTCTGAGGATTGATTGAATTCAAAGGAGAGAAGCTGAACTTGGGGGGCGGGGAGGAGCTTTATGAGGCCTGGGATGTGTAGATCAGCAAAAGCAACACACACATTCTACTCCCCACCTGTTGGGGAAATTCTACCAGGTCTTCAGGGCCTGGCTCAGTGTGAGGTCTCCCCCTAACCCCTCTGCTCAGAGTCCTCAAAGCCTGTCTTTGTTCTTCAGAGTTGTGCTCAAAGGGTGGTCCCAGACTAGCAGCATCAGCATCACCTGGAACTTGTTAGAAATGCAAATTCTGAGGACTTACTCCTGACCTACTGAATCGGACATGGGGGTGGGGAGCGATCTGTGTTTTATCAAGCCCTCCAGCTGATTCTGATGCAGCCTGAAGTTTGATAACCACTGCCCTAGACCACTGACCGCTTGAGCTTTTAGAATTTACAGATCATTTCCCCATCTGACTGCTAGCAGCCTGAAAACAAGAGCATTGTCAGTGCCGGTGCCCTGGCTCACGCCTATAATCCTAGCACTCTGGGAGGGAGGCCTAGGCGAGGCAGATTGCTCGGATTGCTCGAGGTCAGGAGTTCAAAACCAGCCTGAGCAAGAGTGAGACCCTGTCTCTACTACAAATAGAAAGAAATTAATTGGCCAACTAATATATATAGAAAAAATTAGCCGGGCATGGTGGCGCATGCCTGTAGTCCCAGCTACTCCAGAAGCTGAGGCAGTAGGATAGCTTGAGCCCAGGAGATTGAGGTTGCTGTGAGCTAGGGTGACGCCATGGCACTCACTCTAGTCTAGGCGACAAAGTGAGACTCTGTCTCAAAAAAAAAAACGAAAAAAAAAAACCAGAGCATTGTCAGATTCCTCCTTGTACTCTCCCAGCCTCTCCCGTAAGGCCCAGCACAGAACGTGCTCAGAGAAAAATTGAATTTTACTGATGAGGATACCAAGGACAGAGAAGAGATTTGTCCTTTGAAAGGTCAGTGACTAAACCTCTCCTACCACAAACACATACAGGTACGCTAAGGTCTCTCCACAACAAATAATTTGTGGATCCTGGGCCACACTAGCTCTCTCTCACTGTTTTTGAACAGGCTGTACTCTGACCATAATGTCTTCCCATTCCAGGTCTTAGCTAGAATCTTTGAATCATCTTTGATGATTCAGCTCAGACATCACTCACTTCTTCCTCCCTGAAGCTGCAGGAAGGGCCACCAATGGGTCCATCGGAGATATGTGTACCTATCTTGCCCTCCATGTGAGCCCCTGAGGGCAGGAGCTGTGCCTGATTTCCCTTTGTTTCTGGCAATCCACACAGGTCCTGGCACAGAATAGATACCACTGAGGACAGAACTCTGATCTTTTTCTTTGCTCAAAAAATTCCTTTCTAAGGGGGGCTGGGAGTCACACCTACAAATGATAAAATCTCAGTAAACAGGTTTTTATGATGTGGTTTACTTCCCAACCTGATTCTGGTATAGCATCACATGAAGGATAGATGACCCTTATCTTAACTCAAGCATTTCTTTTCTCTGATTCCTGGTCTTTGGACAAAGCTTAACTCTTTCAGCCAATTGTCAACCAAAGAATCCCTAAACCCACTTATGATATGGAAGCCCCCACTTTGAGATGTTCCATCTTTTGGGGCCAAACCAATGTATGCTTTCCATGTATCGATTTATGACTTTACCTGTAATTCCTGTCTCCCCGAAATGTATAAAACCAAACTATAACCCAGCTACAGCGAGTTCACTTGTTCAAGGCTTCTTGGGTGTGACTCTGGGCCATGGTCCTAAAATTTGGCTCAGAATAAATCTCCTTAAATTATTTTACAGAGTTTATCTTCTTTTCTGTTGACACCACTGAGTGTATAATAAGTGAACAAAGATGCCAATTTTAGAGTGCTGAAAATAAAAGACCACATACACAAATAAAGCAAGACCAGAACCAAAGTCTCTTGACTTCCAGCCTAGGATACTTCTGTGCGTGGCTCACCCTGTCTTGCCAACTCATCATGTGCCCTTTGGCTGGTTCAGGCAGAGATATCTAAGAGTGACCATTTCACTGGTGCCAAATCCAGCAGCAGGTCATGTCACCGTCTAAATGTCATGAGCTGCTTTCAGTAGCTACTGAGTCTCCCTGATCCTTGCCTTGCACACCCAAGGCAAAACCTAAAGCCACTGCCAAAGTTAGGTGAGCTGGGAGAGAGGGGTGACAGTCAGCATCCTGCCCTAAGATTCCTCTGCAATCAGCTAATAATAAAAAATGTTAAAAACAAATAAATAGGCTGGGCATGGTGGCTCACGCCTGTAATCCTAGCACTCTGGGAGGCCGAGGCGGGCAGATCATTTGAGCTCAGGAGTTCGAGACCAGCCTGAGCAAGAGCGAGACCCTGTTTATATTAAAAATAGAAAGAAATTATCTGGACAACCAAAAATATATAGAAAAAATTAGCCGGGCATGGTGGCGCAGGCCTATAATCTCAGCTACTTCGGAGGCTGAGGCAGGAAGATCACTTGAGCCCAGGAGTTTGAAGTTGCCTTGAGCTAGGCTGACGCCAGGGCACTCTAGCTGGAGCAACAGAGTGAGACTGTGTCTCAAAAACAAAACAAAACAAAACAAAACAATAATAATAGCTAGCACATAGTGCTGTTTGCCAATACTATTTTAAGTACTTGCATGGAGTAAGCAATTTAATCCACCCCCAAACCCTATGAGGTGGGCAGTACTATTATCCCTGCTTACACAGATGAGAGGACCGAGGCATAGAGGCTAGCTTGCAAGTAAGTGACAGGGATGGGATTTTAATCAAGTATTTGGCTCCAGAGTCCTTGTTCTTAATGACTATGGTGTACTGAACAACATCCCTCTGTAATTTTAAAAGTCTTTTAGCACTTTTATGTTTATGAAGAGAGTTCAAATCTATCACCTCCTTGAACACTTGCAATAACCCAGCAAGGGAACTAAGGCTCAGGGAGATTAAGGGACTTTATCACGCAGTGGCCAAGTCCACCCTGTGGAGCCTGTGTTCAGTCTGATGACCATTCATTCATTTATTCATTCACTCTTTCATCCACCTGAGAAATTGAATGATGGCTGAGCTCTGTGCACACCAGACTCCTTCTCACTCTGTTCCTGGGTAAGGGGCTCACTCCGGGCTGGGGCAGAGCTGCTGGAGAGGCAGGCATCATCCCCCTGTGGGTGCTACTCATCTTCCCAGGGGCTCCTAAATACACCTACTCTGGGGCAGGGAAACAAGTCAGAGTTCTTCGATTCCCCAGTTGGGTGAGGGGCTCCTCTGAACCTCCTCAGGCCCCCCAGGCTTCTACCTGATTGTTACCGTCGACTGTGGCCCACACTGGCAGGCAGAACCGTGTAGCTGGGTCCACGGTGGGACATGGGTACCTTTGCTGGGGAAAGCCCTCATATATCCTTCGAGGCTCCAAAGTCCCCTTGACCACTTCTACCCCCACCTTTCACTGAAAAGAAACTCCAGAAGGGGATGACATGGAGACATTTATTGGATGTCTATGGGGCTGGTCCGCATGGGGGAGGGTTCGGGACAGGGGCCTCCTCAGGGCTGCCTGGAATGTCACTGGCGGTCACTGTGGCTATGAAGCAGTGGTGGAGAAGGCGTTTGGAGTCCGCAGCCTGCCCCTCATTGCTTTCCAGCCGCGGGCTCCAGAAGGGGTAACTCTGTCCAAGGGGCCTCACTCCTCGCACTTCCACTGCGCTGCTCGTGTTCACGCCTTGGCGGTCAGGGGGCACTTCCTCCAGGCCTGGAAAAGCAAACTGAGAGTGTAGCTCTTCCTCCTGAAGCTCTGTTTTCCTCGCCAGGATCATACCCCAGGCAGCTTCTCTGAGTGCTTACCTTGGGCAGTGCATTGTGCTCAGAGTCTTTTTTTTTTTTAATTATTATTATTATTTGTATAAATTTAAGGGGTACAAGTGCAACTTGTTACATGGATATATCGCATAGTGGTAAAATCTGGGCTTTTAGTGTATTCATCACCCGAATAAAATGTTCTGTGTACACATTAAGTAATTTCCCACCCCCTTCAGAGTCTTAGATGTGTCATTTGTTTAACAAATATTTAGTAAGAATATACATATCATGCCCAAGGCGCTGTCAATGTTTCTCATGAACTTACAGTTTAGTGGGGGAGAGAGACAATAAATAACTGTTAGGAGACATGAAAACTTGACCTTCACCATAACCCTATGAGGTAGGTACTATTACAAATCCATCTTGTAGATGAGAACACAGGCTTACCACATGGCTAGTATGCAGAGGAGTTCAGAGCATTTTTTAAACACATATTGTTCTTTGCTTTAAGAACAGCTTCCATGATTCTCTTCTCTTGACTGCTTTCTTTCTCTTCCTCTGATGTCTTAGCTTGAAAGGAAGCTCACTTGGCCTTATTATTCCTTACCTCTCATTCATGAGGTAACTTACTTGGTTCCTGCTGTAACTTACTTGCTTTTTGCCCCCTCCCTACCTTAAAACTATGTCTCTACATCCAATGGTCACTTGTAAATCCTTATCTCCCTTGACTTATCAGGAGCACTTGGCCCAATTGAACATTCCTGTCTTTATGGATTAAAAAGTATATCAAGTGGCCAGGCATAGTGGCTCAAGCCTGTAATTCTACCACTTTGGGAGGCTGAAGCAGGAGGATTGCTTGAGACTTGGAGTTTGAGACCAGCCTGAGCAAGAGAGAGACCCCGTTTCTACAAAAACACAAAAATTAGCTAGGCGTGGTGGTGATGGTGTGTGCCTATAGTCCCAGCTACTTGGGAGGCTGAGGCAAGAGGATCCCTTAATCAGTCAGCATTTTTTCATGAAAAAAGAAAAAAAGAAAAAATTAAAAAACAATTTTTTAAAAATTTATTAAAAAAATACAAAAAAATTAAGAAATTACAAAAGAAAAAGAGGATCCCTTAAACCCAGAAATTTGAGGCTGCAGTGAGCTATGATATGGCCACTGAACTCCAGCCGGGGCAACAGAGTCAGACCCTGTCTAAAAAACAAAAACAAACATATACAAAAGTAAAAAAAAAATAATAAAAAAAAAGTGTATCAAGCATTGAAGCCAGAAATTCAAATCATCTTTCACAGTTTCTACCCCAACTCCTTCACAAAGCCAAGCAATTCACCAGGTCCTGCAGATTCTACCTAATTACCATCTGCCATGCCTACCCACCCATTTCTCTCCATCCTCAAGGCTACCACCTTAGGTCAGGCTTTCATCTTCCTCTTCTCAGACCACTGGAACAGCCTCCAGTTGGGCCTCCACTCCATCCTTTACATTGTAGCCAGAGAGACCTTTCTAAGATCAAGTGAGTCCACGTACTGTTCTTTCTCGATCCTTGAGGTGATATCTTATTGTGGCTTTAATTTGCATTTCCTTAATGACTAATGAAGTTGAACATATTTTTGTGTGCTTATTTGGCAACCATATATCCTCTTCAATGAAGTGTCTGTTCAAGTATTTTGCTCATTTTCTAATTGTTTTCTTAATGTTGAGTTTAAGATGTTCTTTATATACTCTAGGTAAAAGTCCTTTGTCAGATATGTGACTATATTCCCCAGTCTGAGGCTTGCTTTTTCATCCTCTTGACAGAGTCTTTTGCAGAATAAAATTTTTGAACTTTGATGAAGACCAATTTATTTTTTTTAAAAAAATGTACTTTTTGTGTCTTGTCTAAGAATTCTTTGCCTAATCCCAAGTCATGAAGATTTTCTCCTGTCTTCTTCTAAAAGTATTATTTTATGGTTACATTTAGATCTACTTTCAGTTAATTTTCGTATAAAGTATGAGATTTAGGTGAAGGTTTATTTATTTTTACCTACGGAAGTTTTTACCTAACACCATTTATTGAAAAGACTATTTTTCCCTGGTTGAATTACTTTTGCACCTTTGTCAAAAATCTGTTGGACAAACTTATGATGTGGATCTATTTTTGGACTGTATTTTGATCTATATGTCTATCCCTTCACCAATACTACATTGTCCTGATTATTATTTATTGTTGCTAAGTCTTATGTTTCCTCCAACTTCATACTTTTTCAGTATTACTTTAGCTATTCTAGTTTCTTTGTCTTTACATGTAAATTTTAGAATTAGCTTGTCTGTATATACAAAAAAGCTGCCACAATTTTTTAAATCTTTACTATGTTAGGTCTTTCAATTCATGAACATAGTGTATCTCTCCATTTATTTATCTCTTTGATTTCCTGCATCAACATTTTGTAGTTTTTTGTTTGTTTGTTTTGAGACAGGGTCTCACTCTGTCACCCAGGCTGGAGTGCAGTGGCATGATCATAGCTCACTTTGAATTCCTGAGCTTAAAGGATCCTCCAGCTTCAGCCTCCTGAATAGCTGGGACTACAGTGTGCACTTTGAATTACTGAGCTTAAAGGATCCTCCAGCTTCAGCCTCCTGAATAGCTGGGACTACAGTGTGCACCACCAAGTCTGGCTAATTAAAAAAAAAATTTTTGTAGAGATAGGATCTCGCTATGTTGTCCAGGCTGGTCTCAAACTCCTGGCCTCAAGCAAAGCTACGAACCTTGGCTTCCCAAAGTGTTGGGATTATAGGCCTGAGCCACTGTGCCTGGCCATGTAATTCTTAACATTATCCTGTACATGTTTTGTTAGATTTATACCTAAGTATTTCATTTCTTTTGGAGCAATTGTAAATGGTATTATTGTGTTTGTAATTTTGGTTTTCAATGTTTTGTTCCTAGTATATATAAACACAATTGATGTTCGGTTTTGACCTTACATACTATGTCCTTGCTAAACACACTTATTAGTTCTAAGAGGTTATTTTTATTTATTTATTTTTTTGGAGACAGTCTCACTTTGTTGCCCAGGCTAGAGTGAGACAGCAACCTCAAACTCCTGGGCTCAAGCAATCCTCCTGCCTCAGCCTCCCGAGTGGCTGGGACTACAGGCATGCACCACCATGCTTGGCTAATTTTTTCTATATATATTAGTTGGCCAATTAATTTCTTTATATTTATAGTAGAGACGGGGTCTCGCCCTTGCTCAGGCTGGTTTCGAACTCCTGACCTCGAGCAATCCACTCGCTTCGGCCTCCCAGAGTGCTAGGATTACAGGCGTGAGCTACGGTGCCTGGCCTAAGAGGTTATTTTTATGCATATATTTTGTAGATTCTTTGGGACTTGGTTATTTAAGCTTGCATTTTAAGGCATTTCAACTAGTACTGGGATTTACTTCAACTTCTATTCAATTCAAGAATCCCCTTAGTTGAATCCCACATTTAGCCTTTTCCTGATTACCTTCCATGGATAGAGAAGCTTTTTTTTTTAAACCAAGATTACAAATTGGTGAGCCAAATATGGCCCAGAGTGAAGGGAGTACTTTTTGCAGGCGTATTTAAGGTTTCACTACAAATAAGTTCTATAATACTTTTTTTTTTAGAGACAGGGTCTCCCTTTGTTCCCTGGGCTAGAAAGCAGTGGCATCATCATAGCTCAAGCAATTCTCCCTTTTTCTATTTTTTTGTAGAGATAGGGTCTCACCCTTGCTCAGGCTGGTCTTAAACCCCTGATCTCAAGCAATCCTCCCACCTTGACCTCCCAGAATGCTAGGATTACCTAGGCCCAGTTCTACTTTTTTTTGAAGCAACAACTGCCTCCCTATGGCTTCCCCCACTGGTCCCAGCTCTGTTCTCTGGCTCTTCACTAAACATCTGCTCCTCCTGCCCCAGAACAACCTCGCAGAGATATGAAGCCCTAGGCTGTGAGCCCTGAGTCTCCTCTGTTCAAGGCCAAATATTCCCAGCTCTTCAGCTGATCCTCACATGACCTTGTTCCCAGGCCTGAGCTAGTTACCTACCTCTGATCATGTTCTGATTGGTCCCTCTTAAATTGTGGAGCTCTGAGCAGCTGGCAGTCAGGGCTCTGGGAATCCCTTGGGCTTCCAGGAGTTGCAAGACCTTGGCTCAAGTCCTCATTCTGCTATTAAATCATTGTACTACTTTGTGCCAACTCCTTTTCCTCTCTGTATCTCAGTTATCACTTCATAAAATGATGTAGGAAGTTGGGTTGGTCTTATTTTTCTATTTCTTTTCTTTTGAACTCCAAGTTTTAAAGGAATCTGCCTATATAATAGAATGCATTTAGTAAGTACTAATTTTTTCCATTTTGTATTAATAAAGAGCTCTGATCAGAGATTGGAGGGATCCCATGTTAATTACCACCCTTGAACTGACATAATTCTAGATAAAAGCAAAGAAACTTGGTCCCAGTAAAACCTTTGGAATCACGGTGATTGCTCAAGAATTCCCACTGCTGTATTTGGGGACCCTCAGGAACCCAAAGTTGGGAACCTACAGATTAGGTGATAAAAAGTTAGTTCTGAGATGTGATGGCTGGTATGTTCTATCCAATTGAGGGTAAAGATGGACCATCACTCTTTGGCTTCCAGACCTTATACTGCTGTTAATGTGACCTGAGATTCCACTTAGCATTTTGGCAACCACATCACGCTTCTAGTTTATACTGAGCTTGTGGACATACCATGTCTTTTTTCACATGACTCTTTTTCCCAGATCCCAGAGCTTCCCTCAATTTTATATGCCAGGGCCTTCAATCCTACAATCCCAGCCTTCTGGGAAAACTAGTGGAATAGGCAATAGCCCACCTTTGACCTCACATACTCCTGACTCTTCCTTTGGCTAACATGTAATGGAAGTTATTAAAGTCCCATAATGGTGCCTGAAGCCTACGCTGGGGGATTCTATCTTTG